ACGATTAAAAAATTGAAATTGTTAAGTTTTTCATTAAAAATTAAAAAATATACTTATATATTTCTCTGAAAAGATAGTTTACATTTTTTAGAGTAGATATATTGAAAAAAAATATATAAACTCATTCATTTTTCTGCTTGTTATGATTTTTTAAATTACTGAAATCATCCATCCAATCATGAAAATTTGCTTTCGAAATTTTGTTTTACAACAAAGATAAAAAATAACGTTCGGTTTGTTATAACTTTTTTATTAAAAATTAAAAAATATAATCTATTCCTCTGAAAATATAGTTTAAATTTTTTAGAGTAGATTAAAAAAAATTATAAGATTCATTAATTTTTTCTGCTTGTTATGATTTTTTTAAATTTCTGAAATCATCCCTTAACTTCTAATCACCCTAACTCTGTTAATTTTAATAGTACAAGAAAAAGTCAATAATCATTTTTATGTAGAATTTTATGCTCTACAACTTTTATAAGAAATTTTTTTTCAAATTCAGGCAAGTTGACCAAAATTGCAATTTAAAGGACCATTTAATTGCACTATTAATAGCAAAAATGTTATTTTCAAATACAATAGTTTAATGGAAATGTGTTTTCCACGAACACAACAAATTTCATTACGTTAAGAGGTTCAGATTCAGTCAAATGAAATAAATTAAGTAATTTTAGATTGAATTACAAGATCGTCTACACCGAGAAAAAACGTGAATAAAATTATCAAGTTATTTGAGTGCAAACCAGTAATGACTTACATTCATCGTAAACTTTCTAATCTAGTCGAGGTAAATCTATAGTTGATATAAGTATTAAGTTCAAAAAATGCCTTTTCTAAAATATACGTATTTTGTTATTATTAACTTCTGAACTTTTCAAGTTACTTTCAACTAAATCAAATTAATTTTAACAATATCTAGTTTATAGATACAGGGTGTTCCAATTAAAACCTAAAAAGAAAGCGGTATAGCCATAAATAAATCACATCACAGCGTTTACTAGTTCTTAATCTGTCAATGCGTGTCATAAGTGTACAAGTGGACGCGCTATTATCTTCAAAATGAAATCGTGTATGGACGTCAGTAACCAATCTGATATGTGCAACAAAATAATTCGATGTGATGCTACTGACTTGCTGCTTATAACCATAATGTGATATTTTACATTTATAATAAACGTAAATGTAGTTGGCCACTTCGTCACTCAGATTTCTTGCAAAAATTTAAATATTCTTTCGTTCTAAGCCGTTCCATTATGCATGTAGACTAATTTTCTTAAAACTGATGGAGGTTCCCAAATTACAGTCGCTAGAGTTTTCAATTAAGGTCCCACTTTCAATCACCTGTTTCCTTCATACGACCTGATTGTAAAATCGATACACCACCCTCGCCGACAGAGGACTTACTATACTTTAAGCAGGACGATGTAAGGAACACTACTTCCTCGAAGCAGGAGAAATTGGAGTTTTATTATTCGAGGAAAGGAGTGTTCCTAAATGTATAATACCGTAAAATTAATTCAAGTTTCCAAAGAATACGAATATAACGGAATAAATTAGATTGGGTGCTAAGTTCGGGAAGTTTTAAGACAGCTGAAAGGCTAGACTCCCATTGCAGTTTTCTGGATATCCTTGTCATTGAATATAAAAAACTTTTTGAGCCTTTTCATAACTGTTAAATATTAAAAAATAAAAATAATATTTACAAGGTACATTATCGGCATTTATTGTATTATTTGTAACTGCAACTGTGAAAAAGCATGTCAGATGTATTTATATGAATATCCTGAAAAAAATAGATCGGAATTTGTTTGAATCTTGAGCACTCGAGAAGCCTAGAAATAACGATGGACACGGGAATAAAACTCCAATAATGTTTTATTTTAATGCATGGTGGTAATAGTTTAAAAAACTAGATGGATTTCACAGGGTCTAACGACACTTACAGTGTACGATAATTCAATAAACAAAGAACTCTAAATAAAAAATTTAGATAAATTTGGAACGAATACGCTGAAGATGAATTTTTCGAGACAAAACGTCTGAATCTGGTTCGGGCTGAGGCAGTACCAGTATTGGGGGTCATGAAGGCTTGCAAAAAATGAAATAAAATTTGTAAGAAGAGGCGAAACGTTACATATAAAAGTTGATTATGCCATTCGATAGAGGGCAAAAAGTGGGAATGAGGAAGTGTTCTTATTTTTCAATACCACCTCAAACAAGGCTGAAATGAAACAAAAACGGATTTCCAAAATTTCGTTTTTTTTTCAAATATTTCGAAAACTAATCATGTTAGCCTTGATTTTTTACAGGCATAATGTTGGTCCGCTGATTACGCAACTTTGCCCCCATTTAAGATACTTCGTACCTATTACCGTTTCCGATATCCCTGTAGTGAGAAGCGAATTTGTAACAGCCTGTATATCGAATTTTTGTGGATTTAATTTCCCTTTATCTGACAGAATTTTTTTATTTTTCAATATTCTTAAAAAATCTTTCAACAAGATTCTTAATGTAGATACTGATTGTTCCTTAGTACATCTTCTGAAGAAGTCAATTTGGCTCTATCGTACAAACATTTAATTTATGTGATTAACCTTTCAATGTGATGATTCGAATTAAAATTTAGATATCTGTTAACAATAAATTATTGAAATCAGTACATTGAGAATTTTGGTGAAAGATTTAAAAAAAAACTATTTGGATTTACTCGGATTGGACCTTTACAAACGCTTCCTCATCATCATTGTTAATAAAATTTAAAAAACTATAAAATATTTGCTCTTTAGCATAAAAGAAATAAAAATCTAACTCAATAAACTACAATGCATCATGTGACGTGTTGATGTTAGAACGGTTTTTAACCTGTTTACCACATATTGAATTAAAATTTCATGCAAGTATTACTAGTTTTTCAAGAATACGATCAAGTTCTGGATAATGTAAAGTAAACAATATTTTTGGTCAAAATGATTCAAAAGATCCACCATCAAAAGTTGTTTCTCTAACACCCCACATAATCCAACTTTTAAATTTAAACAAGAGCTTGAGTTACATCCCTGCACTAACAAAAACGCATGCAAGGGCATTTCGCTGATACGTGTTACTTTGTTTGAAGAGTGGGAGCAAAATTACAGAGATTAAATCAGTTGTTCCTGAAATGTCACGTAAATCCGCTTTGACTTTTTGCAATTTGTTTCACCGGCTCGTAAAAAAGTAATTATGAAAATTTAATTTGGAATTCGTGGCCCCGTATGCAAATCGAGTTGAAATATACACTCCCGGAGAACAAAACGATGATATTCTAATTCAGTTTTTACATTAGTTATAACTGTTATGACTAACACGCGACTAATAAATTTACTACTAATAGTTAGCACACAATAAAAGTGTAAATATATACACTAGTACAAATTATTACTATGTAAAATGTATTTAATATTATACAGGGTGATTTCACCAATGATTTTAGTCATATATACAGTATAGAAATGGTCCAACGATAATTACCGATTTCTGTCTCAAGAAGGCAAATTTTACTATCTTTGATTCAGCTTCAATCTTCATAGTTTAATGGAAATAGTGTTGCATTGAACTTTTTATTTAAATTGTTGTATACATTGATTTTCTCGTGTTAAGGAGGTTTATCTGACTTGGAATTGACGAAAAAATATTCATAACAAAATTAATTAATATGATGAAAATCCTCAAAAAAAAATTATGACTAGTTTGGATACCTAAGAGACGAGGTATTAATAAAATAATTTTTCACTTTAGTACAGTCTTATGAGAATGCAGATTTTTTGGTCTTTCCACTTAGAATGCACAACAATTGACGAACAGTTTCCACAGCAACTTGTATAAATAGGAAACCGATATCTAAGGAACGGTCTGACAGCTTGTAGAAATCGATTAGGTACTTGTAAGATACATAATTTATAATAATTTTTCTTCAAACTGCTGTCGTTGACTAACTTATCCTCCACATGCGTGATAGTGGCAACGCCGCGACCTCGACATATTTAGCAATTTATTTGAAATTCGCAGGAGTCCAAACAAACAGAATGATCGAACGGGAGCGAGCGAACGCCGAGCCGAGCGCGCCAGCCAAGTGCAACGTTGCCAAATTTAAAGGCTTACTACTTTAATCACTAGCGAATCTACAGAAACTTTCGTTAGACTTTAGACGTACCTCCGTACCCGATTAACCTCCTTAATAGAATAATTTAAATATTATTTTATTAATATCTCGTCTCTTAGGTATCCAAACTAGTCATAATTTTTTTTGGATGATTTTCTTCATATCATTAAGCTTATATTAATTTTTTTATGAATATTTGTTCGCCAATTCCAAATCAGATAAACCTCCTTAAGATTTTACTTCTAAAATTGCATCACGTCAACTTTATTCATGCTATAATAGTGGTAGCACACCAATTTTTTGATCAAGTGACCAGTTTTTCATATGCGTAAATTATTATTTAATCAAATATTTTATTTACATACAGTGTGACTCATTTGTTTTTAAGCCAAATTCAAGGCGTACTATGTCCGTTTTTTAGGAGAAACATTATAACATTTCATATAGGGATATTTTGAGAACAAATATATTTACGATACTGTATGTGTGTTATGCAGGGTGTCCCGGAAATGGTGGTCAATCTCTCGGATATGGATAGATAATGAGAAAATAATGTCACAAGTTCATATAAAATTTTTTCCTCCGGGCTCACACTGTGGAGTTATTAGCTCTTGAAATTGAGAATCAAAAATGGTTTTTTTACTGTAACTTTTGTATTTTTCAATAAATTTTGAAAATTTTTTTTGATCTTCATTGCTTAACGTTCCTATGTTAATTTTAAGAATACCGCTCATTTGTTACCTTCTCTGTAAGCTACGTTTTAGCTAATAAATGAATCTGCTGGAATTATGCTTAACAAATGGACAAAAAGAAAGAATTTTCATTAGAACAGAGCCTGATTAAGTATTTTTTGTTGTTCTAGGCGCCGCCACCGCCGCCTCCATCTCAGTCGAGCACCACCGGAGATTTGTCGCTCAATCTTCGCCCCGGCTCGAAGACGACCAGCGCTCCCAGTTCTCCGGCCAAGTCCCGAGAGAGTCTCCTCCAGAGGGTCCAGTCGCTCACTGGGCAGGCACGGGATCAGGGCGCTTCTATTCTCGGAGCGGCTGTGTCAAGTGCCACCAGAGTAACGTCCACGGTGGGTAATAATTATTAACCCCCAAGGTTCAGCATGTGACAGTAAATAGGTAGTTTCAAATTTCATTGTTTTTGTCTCGGAGGGTTACGGAGACATCTGAAAAATATAACAACTCTTGAGGGCTCGCTTTTAAGGAGCCCTAGCCTCCTTAGAATGCATTTTTCCGCCTCTGCGAATAACGTTACTTTTAAAGAAACTATTTTGTACTTGCATATTGTAAATAGATTACTTATTGATAAATTACACAGCCACTCAGAAAAAAAAAGTTGGGACTTTTTATGCGACATATATTTTTCGTAGTAATTTGGCCTCCTGAACACGAATCTGGGATCAGAATTGGCCCATCACGTCACAATTTTTTCCTAACATCAAAAAACTTGTGAAAAATAGTAAAAATTGATGAAAATTTACTGGGAAAATTTGGAAAAAAATTTATTTCCACATCAAATAGTACATTTTTATGTAAAAGACTCTGCTGAATTCAAATCCACTGTCAGAATTGAGCTAGAACGTGTGGTTTTTTTTCTAACCTCAAAAAACCGAGCAGGAATCGCTATTTTCAAATTCTGAGCGGATTTTGACCAGATTTTGTATAAAGGGGTTTTTTGGGTCGCTGATTACGAATATGAATTCACATTGTAAAAATTCAAGATGGCTGATCCAATATGGCGGGTGTACTTTTTTGAAATCCACCGATTTCAGTAAAATTTGGCATCATAAGGATTGCTGGTTGATCTCACCTTCATTAATCACACATCTGGAGCCAGATTTTCATAAATCAAGGTAAAAGATTCCACTCCGTCTAAAAATGTGACTTCGCTTAAAAAAATGACTTAAGGACTCTACACATGTAATGATGTGTAGTGTGATGTGCTTGTTTCCATGGGACAAGACAAAAAAGTTTCTACTTTATTCTTTCATTTATTTAGTCGTGCATGGGCTTATGGTTTTCCAATCAGATTTTTTTAACTACTATGCAGTTTTCCTATGGCATTTAGATGCTTTTATTTCTTAATAATTTTAAAGTTCAAGGAAAAGGACACATTACTGCCACACAGCACATCACTGCATCTGCTTATGCCTTCAATCTAAAAATGTGACTTTGCCGAAAAAATGCCGCCTACTCGGCCTAAAATTATGACTCTGCCTACAAATTTTACCTTGATTTATGAAAATCTGGCTCCAGATGTGTGATTAATGAAGGTGAGATCAACCAGCAATCCTTATGATGCCAAATTTTACTGAAATCGGTGGATTTCAAAAAAGTACACCCGCCATATTGGATCAGCCATCTTGAATTTTTACAATGTGAATTCATATTCGTAATCAGCGACCCAAAAAACCCCTTTATACAAAATCTGGTCAAAATCCGCTCAGAATTTGAAAATAGCGATTCCTGCTCGGTTTTTTGAGGTTAGAAAAAAAACCACACGTTCTAGCTCAATTCTGACAGTGGATTTGAATTCAGCAGAGTCTTTTACATAAAAATGTACTATTTGATGTGGAAATAAATTTTTTTCCAAATTTTCCCAGTAAATTTTCATCAATTTTCACTATTTTTCACAAGTTTTTTGAGGTTAGGAAAAAATTGTGACGTGATGGGCCAATTCTGACCCCAGATTCGTGTTCAGGAGGCCAAATTACTACGAAAAATATATGTTGCATAAAAAGTATACCCAATTTTTTTTTTCTGTGTGGCTGTGATTATTTATTTAAAAAATGAAAAATAAATTTAAATATTAAATTGTATTCGTGAAACAATATATTTTTTTGTTAGCAGGTGACTGGAAGACATCTGACGCTTCTGGTAATCGACGACCAAAATACCGATTGGAGCAAATACTTCAGGGGTAAGAAAATCGGTGATTACGACATCAGAGTAGAACAAGCCGAGTTCAGGGAAATTACAGTTACGGCTACTTCTGAAGGCGCCAACGTGTCTATGACGGTCTTCAGAGGTGGTACTAGGGTTGGAAGATCATTTAGACCCGATTTCTTGCTGGTAAGAGAGACCTCTTAATATATACAGTGTGTCCCAAAATTCATATTTTTTTTCGTTCGAGATTTTATTTTTGATTTAAAACGATGGCAAATCACAAAAACATTAGTATCTACAAACTTTTATTATTAAAATATATTTGTACATTTTATAACAATAATTACGAGTGTAAGGTACAAAAATAAGCTTACAAGAGATGTTCATGAAAGAAATCACAAAATAAATTAGTAAATATTTACAAAATATCAATTATTCGAAAATATCCTAATGCTGATTTCTATTAAAGTAAATGAAAATGATTGTAACAAGTATATAAATACATATAATGCCATTCCCAGTACTTTACAGATGGAGATTTACACAACAGCATTAATAAAATGCAATAGTTACCTTGTTAAAACTATTTTTTTCCTTTTTCAGGTCAGACAAAACCTCAGGGATGCCGGAGAGGACCACAAAAAGCTGCTATTGGCTCTGAAATTTGGCGGAGTTCCAAGCATAAACAATTTGAATTCAATTTACAACTTCCAGGTGAGTTAATTTTTAATACTTAAAATTTCAGTCACTCGGTTTTTTATTACATAAATACAGAGAAAATGTGCATTTATTGTTTTTCATGATGTGAAGATATCACCGATGAATGAATAAAAATGAATGAATATAAGATTTATTTTTAACAACAAAAAGGTCAATCATTCATTGTTTTTTTTTACATTTTAACGACTGACTGGTTTACAACTACATGTTGAAATTATACAATAACATATAATTAAAGTTAATAAAGCTAATTATAAAATAAATAACAAATACAACATTTAACAATGAAATAAAAGTAACACTTTTAATTTGGACACATATTCGTGTAGCAAGTAATAATAACTAACCAGGATGTCTCTCTATAAAAATATAAATTCTAAGTGAAAAACTATATTCGCGCGCTTTTTTCCAGGATAAACCGTGGGTTTTTGGCCACCTTGTACAGGTCCAAAGGAGGCTCGGCAAAGAAAATTTTCCTCTGATCGAACAAACATTTTATCCGGATCACCATGAAATGGTAAGTTTTTTGCATGGTACAATTTCTAAACCGATACAGTCTCATATAAATTTTTCCGAAGTGAGGAACTAAAATTAGTAGTTTGTATTGGATTTTTCTAAATGTACTAATAAAAGTAATTTTTCTCCCACACTCAACATATGAATTTTCGATAGTTTTCCAAACATTACGGCGACTTTTTACAAAGCTCTACATAACTTAAATACATTTATACAATAAAATAATCCGTCTTCTATGCGTCCTCTTCCCCCTATGGCAGGTTATATAGCAAAGTCTTGTATTTCTGGCTTGCGTTACAGGTCGCTAAGGCCTTGTTCCTCGTCCACATACAAGATTTGTTCGCCTGACGTAGACATATTCCCTGCAAAAAAATGTAAATCAGCGTTTTAAAAAAATTTACAGGAATAAAATATTTTGTAATAATAATATACAGTGTGTACTTCCTCAGAAGTAACTCGTGAAAGTTTTCGAGTTTTTGAAAAGAACGATATGTCTCTCGAAACGTCAAGAAATCTAAACCCACGACATGGCAAATAATCAATGTCAGCACACGATATCTCGAAATAGAATATTCGAACGATTCAAAATTGATTTTGATGAAGAAAAGTACTTTCAGATGCCATAACGAGTTTTGTCGACAACAATTTCCTCGTGATGTAGAAACATAAACTCAAATATAATGAAAAACGGTGATTTTCGCAGATATCTTTAAAACTTGATGTGATGAAAGAAGTCTGAGGTTGGATTCGAATTCAGCGTATCGAAAGTGTAACCTGGCTTCTGATTTAGAAGGACAGTTACATTCTGTCGACCTTTTATTTTAGAAGGCATTATTTTTGGATCTTTTGAATACGAATCTGAGTCAGTTTCGCGCCAGCACTCACCATTTTCAAGAAAATGTCCACTCAATTTGCAAAAAAGGTGTGTCACGAAGAAGTATGCGATTTAGAGTAAAAATTTCTTAAGAAGGTCTACACATACAGCAGTCTTTCTCGTTTTATCTCTAACCTTACATTCTCTTTTATCAAATTCACGTCCCACATATCCCTACACCTTTTTTTCCGTTTCTTTTAAATGTTGGTAAAATCGTTTGCCCTTGTTCTGTGCTATAGTCACCTAAGCTATCAGGGAAGTAATCAAAGTGAGAGTCCATAAAACTTCTAGGTTCATTAAACATACAAGTTCTGTAAAGTCGTTCACCGTTTTAAAGTTTTATAACTGTGACTTTTGCGATTAACCAAAGAGGTTTTTATTAATTTTTCTAGCTTTGCTTTTAGGATTTATTGCTGTCCCAGCGATAGCGATATTTTTCTTTCAAGCTTCGTTTTGAGGAGTCGATGACCATAACCTCCATAAGTTGTCCTTATAAACTTTGTGTTTTAACTAGTTTATTAGGTCCAATACATTTCCTAGCACTTATTTCATGTGATCGATACACAGAAGTTTTGGTACCCCCTCCGTATTCCTTATCATTTTTTTGGGACGTGGTGATTTCAAAATGCTGCAAAAATGTCTTTTGAGTGTGTGTCCTACATATTACCTCCCTAAGACTGGCGGGATCTTCAAAAAGGAATTTTTTCGAACTTTTCCAGTTTTACACGTAGATCTAGTGATGCAGTTTAGCAAACACCTGATTTTGCAGTAACTCGTTTTATACAAACTCGGAAGGAACAACACCAAAAAGTTGGGGTGAATTTTACCCTTCGCTAGATAATTTATTTAAATTATGTCATTCAAGTCACGCAAGGAACATCGGATCTAATAATAAATTCGAATGTAGTTGAATGAAACTTGGTGGAATATACGAAGGTTATTACCATATTCTGTGGACTTTTAGGCCGGTATTGCGAATAACACAGTTGGAAGGATTATATCTAGCCATTAAAGCTTTCTCTAACATTCATATTAAATTTAATTTAAAACCAATTAGCTTATCCGGACGAAATTTAATTAGTAGATAACTTCATGGTAGTGATTGTGTTCTGTTGAGTTATTTTTAAACCATAATTTAAATTTCCATGTTCAATTATCGTCGGGCATAAAAAGCTGTGACAGGAGATAATAGCAGTGCCTAATTTATAATTCCATTTCATTTTTATGTTAAATAGAGGAACGGAATGATGGATACTGACTGAGTGCTTTTGTGTGTCGATTAAAGTATTAATATATAATCACTGAACGCAGAATGAAACGCCATACGAATGTTATTGAATCGACGTTCTTGTTACATTGGCTGATATTCAAATCAGGTATTTAATTAAAATCTGTTCAACGAACATGTATTATCACGATTATGTTTTATGCGCACACGCCGAATATTTTATTTTATGATGTCATTTAATTATATTGCTAGCTTTTTATGTTTCCATCGAAAACTTTTCATTTTAATTCATAAAACCATTTATTTTGTGATAACAAATCGCAAAACACTGCACCAAATTTTTAGTTAGCAGTTGATATTTCATCATGGATTCCGGCTGAATAACTGTCCAAAGAATGTTACTACATTACCATTGATACATTGCGGTAAGTCATTTACAAAAATAGAATGATCGAAGGTCCCAGCACCAAACCCTGAGGGACTTCAAATCTTATTACATATGTTACATATTTGATCATCCAATTAAGAAAGACTATACAAAATCCTAAATTATAGATTTTCCCTTTAATAAACTTAAAATTCGATCAGCGAAAGCTCGTGACAAGTGGATTCGCTAGTTTTTTTAATTTTATATTCAAAGTACACCTATCTAATCCATTTTTTACCTTATAAAACGTAAGTGAGCCTTGCGTTTACCTTATCTGTTTACAATACATTAATTCAATAAAGCCCCTTAATTCTATCCCTTTCTTTCGCAACTGATAAGAGCCGAGGTGGTACTTTTCTGACAAATGAACCGTGGATTAAATCAATTTCCCCTTCACGAGAAAGAAAACGAAAAAATCTGATAAAGCGGAAATTGAAAAAATATTTTCATGTATAAGTTATTACCTTAGCAAAGCATAAATAACAATTTGAGACATTAAGTTTCCCAGTTGAAGGATAAACATTTTTTGAAAGCCTAAAATTGGAATCAAACTATTAAAAATGCTATTTATATAATATCAATCAGGTTTTAATATGCCATAAGTGAGTAATTATAGAAGCCAAATACACAAAAATCAAATAAATTATTAAAATTTTGAATTCGATTACATATCTACTAAAAATTATAGAAAAATACCTTTATTTTTTTCTTTAGAAACTGTATTCATTTCGAAAATTTACTAATATCAGTGTTTTTCTTGGGTACTAACATTATTCTGAGCATTGAATGACTTAAGCTTGTTTGATTTTTCAGATAAATAAGCTAACCGAACTTCTTCATTTACTACCATTACTCTTATCTTTATCATTCTTCGAAAAATTCATACCATTGGTATCAATACCTTAATTTGATTGGTAATAATTCATCACTAGCGACAGAAGCCGCTTTTTTAATATCGATTGGAACGTTTTCTTCGCCACTTTTATCGGTATTCATCTTTAGACGATTTGGAGACTTGTAAAAATATAAGCGACAAAACTTCTGCTAACAAACAACTGTTCACCCTGTTTTTAATGCAAGTTTTGACGTGAGAGCTCGGTAAAGTTACTAAAAAAATAATCGGAAACAGATGTTTTCTAGAACCGCAGCACAAAAAAAATTCAACAAAATTAAAACGTCAACTTTTTTTGGCACCTTTTCGTTAACATTTTTTGAATATCTAAAATTGAAATAAAGTGATTGAAAGACATTTCGAGAACTCTTGAAATAAATACGCTGTTTATATATAAAAAAAAAAATATTCAAAAAGTTCAAGGTGTCTCAAATGTGATCTGTGTATACAAGGTGTTTTACAAGCTCCATGACAAACTTTGACAGACTGTAGCTGTGATAATTTCAAACATTTTTTCTTTAGCAGTCACGAGCATTTAAAATGATATAATTGCATATTTCAAAGTAGCCTGATAAATAAAAATGATGATTGCTATTACACCAGGAAAATTAGCGAAAATAAAAGAGATACTCGAAAAAAGTCCTATCCGCTAGATTATTGTAAAATTGTCTAAAGGAACATAATACAAGACATCTCTCATCTCCTGAGTCAAAAATTTTTATTAGCTAACTTTTCTATTTAAACAAATAAGTGAGGAAAACAGTTTTTTCACTTTGCAGGGAAAACCATAAATTTTAGCGAAAATGACTCTCAGACAGCTTGTAGGGAGTAAAATTATCTATAAAATGAGACTTGTTAAATTAAAATCGGTTAATAAACAAAAAAGTTATTGCAAAAAAACAAGAAAAGTGCCCATTTTTTCATTTGTTTATAACTATCGCATTTATTGTTAAAATTTTATAAAACCTATGACAAGTTGAGGGTTTTGTCATACTTTAAAAGTGTGCCAAAAGTGGGCGCTGTAGGTGCAATAGTTTTCGCACAATTCTATTTGTTTATAGCGGAGGCTCCAAAAGTTATGAACTTTAAGCCTCTGTACAGGCGTTAATTTTCAACCAAACATGATTCTGAAAGCGTCATTGTAATCTTAAAGACGTAATTAAGCGACCTATTAAAAAATATCACCGTTTTTTTGACATTAACATTCTCAAATTGTGCATTAAAAAACCGTGCGTTTTTCGCTTATAAACAATTTGAATAACATTGTTGCTATTTATGCTATCTCACCGAAAATAGATGCAATGGATAGCTGGCAAAAAAATACAGTTTTAAAATAAAAAAAGTACCCTCTACGACCAACAGGAGCCAAGATAAGAATTTTTTTTTAAAAAATCGTAGCGCAATTGTTTATAAATATTAAGACTTGAATTTTTCGCAAAATAAAGTTTACGACGTAAACTACGATTTCCCGTGAATTGCATTGAAAAATGTGGAAAATTAACGACTCACGAGCCCTTTAAAGAGAAGGTACTCGCTAAGTAAACTGTCCGGCGGCCGGCGGCGTGATGGTGGGGGAAGCTCGTCCAAGCGGTCGCGCGCACGATAAAGGTTGATGCGAGCTGTAAATTTTACAATATATCGGCTTCTATTCATCTTAGAAACTTATATATTTTTTTAAACTGGGGTAGCTCGACGAAAAATTAACAATGGGCATATTTACGAACTCGTAGAATAGCACCGTACCCCAGAAAAAATGCATTTTTTTATACTTAAATTTTTTTAATTTACAAAAATGTCACAAAAATTATTGTTAAACGAAATATTAATTAAAATTTCAATTTCGGAATTATTTTACTATTATTAAATAAATAAATAAAGCTATCGTTCATTTAAAAAGTTATTTTTTTACACATTAAGGCAAAGTAAACTTTTTTTTTCAATATTTTGTTAGCTATTTAATTACGATTTAAATGTAAAAGTAAAGTGAAAATTCATAAATTATTTTCAAATTAATATTTCTCATAAAAATAGAAAAAATTTTAAATTTTAAATTGTTGTAGGTATTATATTGCATCATATCTATTATTGAAAATGGTTGTGATTAATATTTTTTTATGTTGCAATTTTTTTTTTGTATAGAATTAGTAATAAATATAATAAAAAAACTTTATTTACTAAAATTTCAAGAAGTTAAAATTGTAATGTTATCGACCGCATTGCAATAAATTCAAATGCTTTTTGTTCTATTTAAAATCTTTTAACAATAAATAATAATTTGAAAGCGCGACCGCTTGGACGAGCTTCCTCCACCACCACGCCGCCGGCCACCGGACAATTTACATAGCGAGAACCTTCTCTTTAAAGGGCTAATCGTTAATTTTCCACATTTTTCAATGTAATTCACGGGAAATCCTAGTTTACGTCGTAAACTGTATTTTGCGAAAAATTCAAGTCTTAATATTTATAAACAATTGCGCTAGGATTTAAAAAAATTCTTATCTTGGCTCCTGTTGGTCGTAGAGGGTGCTTCTTTAAAAAAAAATTGTATTTTTTTGCCAGCTATCCATTGTATCTATTTTTGATGAGGTAGCATAAATAGCAACAATTTTATTCAAATTGTTTATATGCGAAAAACGCACGGTTTTTTAATGCACAATTTGAGAATGTTAATGTCAAAAAAACGGTGATATATTTTAGTAGGTCGCTTAATTACGTCTTTAAGATTACAATGACGCTTTCAGAATCATGTTTGGTTGAAAATTAACGCCTGTACAGAGGCTTAAAGTTCATAACTCGCAACTACAGCGCCCACTTTTGGCACACCTTTGAAGTATGACAAAACCCTCAACTTGTCATAGGTTTTATAAAATTTTAACAATAAATGCGATAGTTGTAAACAAATTAAAAAATGGGCACTTTTCTTGTTTTTTGCAGTAACTTTTTTGTTTATTAACCAATTTTAATTTAACAAGTCTCATTTTGTAGATAATTTTACCCCTACAAGCTGTCTGCGAGTCACTTTTCGCTAAAATTGATGGTTTTTCCTGTACCCTTCGCATCTAGTTCACAAAATCAGGCGACACTACCAACCCGCCATCCTGCAAATCCACGCTCCAACCCTTCACCTTAAGCCCAAACCTCACCTCTTTAGTCTCGCAGTCGTTGCTCCAGTTACAACCGTCCCTCTGCCTGTAACACTTCCTGCCGAAGCGACACTGGTTGATCTTGCAGGTGCACCCGTGCTTGTACAACAGCTTCAGTCCTTTCCTCTGCCTCCTGGTGAGCTTCTCCCATTCCACCGCCATGTCGCACAAGCTGACGTGGGCCTTTAAGCTGTGGATCCTCCCCGAGAGCACGTACAGCTTCCCAGGCTGCAGTTCGACGCCGCACATGGAGTCGTAGAGGGGGGTGATGATGCGTCCCGACTTCAGGGCGACTTCACCCTTTTCCGTGATCTTGTATTGCTTCCTCACTCGCACCTTATAGAACCTCGTCTGGTTGTGGATCCTCTCTCGCTTCACTCGGGCCAGGATCACTGCAATAAAGAGTCTAGGGTTAATACAGGGTGTTTCATAGCTAGCTAGAAGGGTTTTCAGTTGAGTTTTGATGCTCAGGGTCGAGCAGAGGGGTCATTATAAGAATACTGCCGACAAAATAAAAATAAGTTAAAAAATATGAGTGTTATACTTTTTCTGTATTCATTTCGATCTCATTTAAGTCTTAAGTGGTGCATTATATTTAAAGTGATGATCTTTGTGTCAATAACCTCTTACATTGACTTAGTTCAGGTGAACTATACTACCATCACTTTACATATTCCAATGAAGTAAACAATTGCACACAACCACAGCGCAAAAATAAACGGGGGCTCATTTAGAAAAATTAAAACAGACATAGCTAATACAATGCGAAACATCGCCTTAATGTTAAAAATGCTGTCACCGCCGTTTTTGGTGGTGAAAATTCGAAATATTAGGAATTATTTAAATTTCGTGGCTGAAAACACACGTAAGTATTGTATTTTTGAAACAGAGAGAGTTGCACGAGACGAAATTTGTACAGGACATAGCTAATATGATGCGAAACATCGCCTTAATGTTAAAAATGCTGTCACCGCCGTTCTTGGTGATGAAAATTCGAAATATTTGAAATTATTAAATTTCCGTGACTGAGAACATACATAGGCATTGTCGAAACCAAGAGAGTTGCACGAAGCTACGGAAATTAGAAAAAAATTGCCATAAAAACTGTACTTTCTTAAATTTTTAATAGGTGCACCAAATCTTCGTTTAGGTTTTGTTGTCGTGCTACTGCTCCGTAGTTCTTGCCTCAATCTAGTAGATCAGACTTCTAGTAGCGTAAAAGTATTTTCTATTTCTTTCAAAAACTAGCAATAGTGACATGTCTTTTTATTTTTGTTACCTATTTTTTTCAAATAAATTCTGAGTCATCCAGTATAAAGGACACTTCTATATGTAAAAATATAAAAGGTGTTGCTTTTGGTTGATGTTGAGCGTTGCCTCTACACTCTTTGATATCCAATTGTTTATTTTCACGATCCCAAAGGAGACTTTTATGTGACCTTAAGGAGGTATATCGGGTTTACTGAAATGCACAGATGTACTTGAAATTTATATAGCGTATTACCCAGTGCTCCCTCTGTGCGTCATATTTTTTTGAATTTTTTTTTGAATCTATATTTTGAGATATTGTTGTTGAAAGTTGCTCATTTTAACATAGGTTTATATGGCGAAGATGGACGGTGCGGCTCTTTTTTGCCCGAAAGAAGAAAAAAATGCAGAAATTGTGAAACAAAACTTTTACATAGATAGTACACAGTATTATCTTATTTTTGATGTAAAACTAATGTAAGTTTTGAACATAGTACAGCTGTATTAATTAGAAATAGAAACCAATAATTGCATTTCCGTCTAACTTGAGGATTAATGTGGCAACGTCGCAATTAGCTGACAGCAAGGAGGGAATACATTTGAAAGACTTGATAAATACGAAATTGATCTCAAACATATACATTTTTCCTAAATCCCATGTATATTATTATCAACAATAAATTATCCACAACAGATGATTTTTTTGTAATGTTTTTAAAAAACTAGATTAATTAAGAAATACTAGGAAGCTGTGATATATTTATTGGAATAAAAATACAGCTGATAAATCCTTTTAATATATTTAATGCTTTATAAAAACATCGTAATCCTTACGCAGCAATATTTAGGGTTACATAAAGTTTAAACATTTGTACGGAATAACAAAGGAACATAAATATTTCTCAGCAAACTTTATATCTAAAAAGTTAGTTATAGTTGCAAAACTTTTGTAACATTACTAAAATATATATTAAAACCACGAACAGTGAGTAATAATGTAATTTCTATCACAAAACCTTCAAAATTGCATCCAACATTTTCTTTGACTTGGACGAGAGATGGGCGCAAGTGTCATTTCATTTCTTTAGAACTAAATTAACATAATTCTCGTTGTTTTAGCAGTTCACATTATTTACGGATTTTAAATAAAGGATACAAATCTTCGCGAGGAAAATACGATATATTTAATTAATAATAATACATTTTTGAACGCGTACGCATCTTTACCCGAATTTGACGCGCAATATCTCCGATGTCCGAGGTCTGTAGGTTCGCAATGTGTACAACTGCTAGTCAATTATTAACGCTGTTGCCACATCTAACGAGCGTTCAAATAAAAACGTGGTCGAAGTTGGCTCTGACACATTGGACGTAGGGAGTAGCTTATAGCGACTAACTTAACCTCATTTCTCAACGAGCTGTATAACAGTTGTCAGTTTCAATAACGTTAATGACTATATAACTTTATTTTAAAGAATAATCGTGATAACAATAACAAACAATTAAAGGAGCTGCGGAAAGTGTCCCCCTCCTTGTTATAACAATAAATTAAAGCAGCTGCTGAAAGTGTCCCCCTCCTTGTTCCAAGCACTTTTCACACCTGTTCCTCAAAGAATTAAAGACATTTTCTAAGATGCTCGGGGTATTGTTAATTTCACGAATCTTGTCTATAAGTCGAGCCTGCAGATGGTTTAAATCAGGAATAGGCAGTTCAAAAATAGTGTTTTTAAGGTAAGGCCACAAAAAGAAATCACACGGCGTAATATCACATGACCTCGGTGGAAATTCATGTTCAGCATTGAGACTTATTAGTCGATTTTGGAAAACTTCCCTCAACATATTCATCGTCTCGCCTGCCGTATGTGCCCTTGCGCCATCTTGTTGAAAGTAAAAGTTTGTAATTTCGTTTTCTTCCAGCTGGTTAACAAAAGGAGCGATAATTTCTTCTCTATACCTTTGCGCAGTAAGAGTACCATTAAAAAAAATAGGTCCATAAATCCTCCTTCGATTGAGAGCACACCAAACTCCAATTTTTTGAGCGTGTAGAGGGCCCTCGACAAAAAAGTTATCTGGTTTTTCAGAAGACCACATTCTCATATTCTGTGAGTTTACGTAACCACTTAAATGAAACCAGGCTTCATCAGAAAAAAAGGTGATATTATGAAGTTCACCGTAGTTGTTTAAAAACCATTCACAAAATACAGCCCGTCGCGGAAAATCAACTTCATGAAGTTCTTGCTGACAAGTTAAACGATAGGAGAACAAACGCAAATCTTTTTTTAACACTGTGTGGCAGGTACCGACTGATACTCCCACCATTTGTGATAAAACACGTACAGAAGTTCTTGGCGCATTTTCCATTATTTGTTGGACATTTTCTTTTAATTCTTCAGTCCGCTTTTTAGGTCGGCCGCTTCCTTCTTTTCTTGTTACACTGCCCGTTTCACGAAAAACATTAACACAACGCTGAACTGCACTTTGAAAAATTTTGTACTCAACAACGCCGGGAAATTGATTTTGAAATTCTATGAAACATTCCTCAATAGAATACTTCCATATTCCATCAATCTTGCGTCCATTTCTAAAGTAGGACTCTATGATAAACACTTTTTGTTCTTGAGAAAACACCATTTTAAACGCTTTTTAAAACGAAAATATTCAAATTGATAGCGGCGATATAGCGCTTTGACAGATGACGTTTAAGTTCATTTGCTATACGCTACGCCCTACGTCCAAATTTTCAGAACCAACTTGACCACGTTTTTATTTGAACGCTCGTTACATAGTCTTTATGCGGTTATTAAATATAATTTAAAACTACTTAAATATGATATTTTTATGTTGTTAATTGGTCAATATGTATGCTATGTGCATATGAGTAGATTTCTTTGCTATATAAATATTGTTTATCGCAAATAATTTAAATAGAATTAAATTTTTTCAAATTGGCAGCGGGCTTTAGTCCCATAAGAAAAGCAGAGGACCCCTCCTGCGCTCCTCACTTCCCTCGGACCCCGATATACCTCCTTAATAGCGGCTCTCGACGTACATGATGAAAGGAAATTATTTCAATGATTATAGGTCAATTAATTTAAAAGATATTTTTAAGTAAAATTACGTCTACAATTGATCCTTTTTAAACCTTTTCTTTTATTGAGATCGCGTCACGCACCGTCTGTTAATTCCGAAAGTAGGACATCGAATTATCAGAGATCGCGTTAATAAAGTTTTATGTAGCTCGACCTATTTTTGGGAAGAACGATTCCATTGTGGCAACTCCCTCCCATTTAATAATAACCGAAACAGTATTTTTCCTTAACAAGTTCGTGGGACACACCCTGTATATTTAATTTCTAGCCTTGTTTTCCAACCTTTCGCAATTGAGAGTCAAGAACTATTAACCAGCCCGACTAGTTGTAGTTATACGGTCAATAAAAATGATTAACCCAACACAAACAGATAAAATCCATTCCGTTTTAAATTTAATGGCTCAATTTGCTTTCGCACTCTTTTCTGAGCCATTAATTGCTTACGTGGTTCGCTTGACGTACGGCTTCGTCGGTCTCGGTCTCGGGTAGAATTATGGTAACTCGCACTGGGCACTGGATTACGAAATTATTACATCCAATAAATAAAGAAATTCCAATTCCAGTCGGGCAGGTGCTTGCAGAAAGGCCGAAAATTACCGAAGGTCATTTTCACGTTCGACGTGTATAAACTGGTATACATTACGGGGTTGATTTGGTCGTAGCGAGCCATGCAAGTCCAGTGAGGGGTTGACCTTTTTTAATTGAAACGACTAAAATCAGGATTTCTTATTGCATTTGAACATACATCTCTCCAAGAAGTGACATGGGTTTTTTGTTTTCTTTTTATAGGAATACTACATATTTTGAACCAATGATCTTGCTGTTTTGATATAAAGTTTTATGTTAAATTTTATTTTAAATATTTTGAAAAAAAAATTGTTTACTAGGGTGTTTCACAAACGGTGACGAAAAATGAAACCTCGTATTCTTTGGTGAATCTTAAGGGGAGTTTTCCTTTGAAGTTTTTATCTAGGACTTTTCGTTCAAAAGATACAGGGTGTTAAACTTAAAAAAATATTTTAATTTTTTTAGATAATTTAGAAACCTGTAAGTGA